CCTGCTTAGAGATGCTCCAATGAGTCCTCACAGCCCTGGCCCATCACTCACCTCCAGACAGTGTAAGAGGCGGTAAATCACTCGCACTGAGCCTGAAGGGAGCAGCATGAAGACACCTTTGAAAGTCAGTGTCACTGGGCCCTGTGTTTCCATTACTGTTGGGTTGGCCAAAAAGTTCATTGGGGTTTTTCCACATCTTTCAGAAAAACCCAAACAAACTTTTTGGCCAACCCGATACTACATCCAAAGATGTTTCCCTCTAGAAAGTTTCTCTCTCCCCAGTAAGTAAACGTCCCGAGGGCTGCCTCACTGATTTTTCAGAGATGTCTGAGTGGGCCTGGGAAATTGTCCTCCTCGTCCCTCCCAGGCTCAGAACACACTGAGACATAAGTCCAAGAGGGAGACAGATGGAGATCCAGAATATTTCCTTTTATTACACATAAAGGCCAAGTTGGATGAAGCATCTAACTGTGAGAAGAGAATGGATCTTCTCACCCCAGACTATGGGTACCTCTTACGACGATGTCAAGATGACATTGATGGTGGTGATGATGACGATGATGTGAGGATGCTGCTGATGCTGACGGTGATGGTGTTGATGGTGAGGATGGTGACGGTGATGATGATGCTGCTGATGGTGTTGATGGTGAGGACGGTGATGATGCTGCTGATGCTGATGGTGATGATGGTGAGGATAATGGATGATGTGATGATGGTGATCATGGTGACGATGATGATGATAATCATGGTGACCACAATAGAGATGGGAGCAGAAGCCAGGGCAGAGTCCCAGACTCGGCGAGTGCCATCTGAAAGAGCAACACAGGGAAAGGTGGCACCATCGTGGTGTCCCCTGCTCTTCGCCTCTGGGCTCAGGCTGTGTGCTGCTCCCCTCATGCCAGACACTCCCCCATCCTGCAGAACTGGAACCATATTGTCTGAGCCCTTTACTGAGGTCTGCACTGACAGTCTGTATGTCACGAGTGCACTCTGGTGAAGAAACACTGAACTAGAACAAGTCCTGAGAACTTCACTGTCTCCATCTGAAATATAACCAGGCAATTCCACTGAAATCTCGAGGCCAATGTGGTAAACCCGAGTCTGCAGTCTGCTCTGGAGGGTCTTCAGATGGCGGATATTATTATAAGTCCCAACTTCAGACATTATATCAAGTCGTCATGCATTTCAAGGTCAGAAGCGTCAACTATATTGTATATTATGCACACTAAATATTATATATATGCACAAATATATACATATGTACATACATATATGTATATAATACAAATATTACATTTCACCAGATTTAACTATCAATTATCTAAAATCCCTATGATTTCTGAGACTGCTAAACTAGTTATCCCAAATATCTATACACTTATTTGAGGTTAGTGAATCATTTTTACCTTTATCCACTGAATTTTAATGAATGCACATTCAAGGCCTAGAGCACGCACTCAGCCATTTGTATATAGCAACACACTTCTGTTGGTACCAACTCAGAATATAAAGTACATTTCATCAAATCTAAGGCACGTCAGGCTTTCAGAGATAATAAAATGTGAAAAAAAATGTGTCTTAGAAATCAAGGAGATCTAATGTCTTTTCTATGTGTTAGAATGACTGTATTTTCACAGATTGTCCTACATTCTCAGGCCACCCAGAGCCAGAAACGTGGATAAAGGCACTCAGAAAATAACACTTTTCTTTTGGGAAAGCACAGAGTATTTCCAACCCTAAACTGAGTGGCTACCTCCGTCAATATCTAGTATGCATTCAAGTTCGTTGAGAAACAGTTTTAATATTAACATTAGCATCAATAGGTGCCCATCGCCCGTACAAAGTTAAAAAAATACATTTTATAAAAGCCAAATCTTGAGGCATTTTATCAGTAACGTCCTTCTATCAGAAGCTTGACCCCGTCTATACATCGGCAGATCCCTCGTTCCCTAACTAGGCTGCCCCTTTCTCCCAGCAGAGCCTCTGGGGACTCGGAGGCAGGGAAAGAGGTGACAGAAGGAGCCTGAGACGGACTCCGAGAACTGTGATCGTTGTCTTTGTATGTAAATTCCACTTTGTAAAACTGATACCCACCATCTCAGTGGCACTTTACATCCTAGAACCACACATGAGCATCACGTAAATCAATCAGTAAGAAACTGCTTTACAAATATTTGAAGTGTTGGCCCATGTTAAATTAGATTTACTTTGAAAGCACTTGGATTTTACTTCATTGTGATGTATGCCAAACTTATTATAAGGATTTACTCCTGTGGTTAAATTTCTCTTCATTCTGTGACAAAAAAATCAATCAAGAAAATGACAAGGTTTATGATGTCTCAGCTGGAATGCTGACAGTGGCTGATGAAACTGAAGCATTGCACTTCTCTTCCCAGATACCGTATCACCCTAGACCACATCTTTCAACCTCTTCTATCTCCCACCCATAAAATTTTAAATGGCAAAGATGAATTTTGATTCTGTACTAGAAAGACATTTCTAGGATGAAATTAATTGGTGTCCTCCATGAAATCAAAGAAAGGAAACAAAAGTTGTTCACTAAGTGAATGATTTTTAGTTTTTCCTTCACTCTGAACTGTCATTCTTCTCATCCTTGACAAAATCAGCAAGACCCTATGGGGCCTTCCCAGGACAGACCCCACGCCCCATGCCCTTGCCCGCCTCTTGTCTGTAGAAAAACTTTAGCCTCCTAGGCCTTCCCAAAAGTTTCAAAGAATAGATTTACTCAGAGAAATGAGAAAATGCAGAAAGAAAGAAAAGGAGTCGAGCAATACAAAATAATAATAGTTTAGCCATTAAACAAAGTCAAGGGCTTTTAGTTCCTCCTCAAGGGCTCTAGATAATATTCCGAGCCATGTCCTTTGAGCTGTTATTTCCACTGCGATGTCTATTTAGAGGTAGTGCCATGAGTTCTAAGATGAAGCAAACTAATCACAAACCGCGGTCAGACTAAAGGGGTGTGGGAGAGGCCTCGCTGGCCAAGAGTCACGCTTTCATTCTGCAGGGGTCATTGGCTGCTGACCGGAGCCAGCCTGAGTCCAGTAAATACTTTCCATCCAAATTGTAAGGATATTTATCAAGAAGCCAGTATGCATGTCAGACTGGGTGCTAGAGGCACTTCTGGGGAATCAGAAGAAAGGGTGGTTGACTACATACTTGTGGGTTCGGATGCAGAGATTATAAGGGAACGTTTATTTCTTTTGGCCAGTAAGGATGCATCTTCCATGAATCATAGTTTTTTTTTCACCCTAATCCTTATCTACACTATAAAAAGACCTTTGGAAATATGGTTTTTCAATAAATTACAAGGTTTCTTTTCTAATCCTTAGTTACAATATTAAAGGAACTTTGGATATAGGGAGATTTAAGGCTTTGGAATTTTTTTTAAGGCTTTCTTAAAACATATACATGGCTTGTCAACCTGTCACAGCAACTTGCAGCAGCGCTGTGGGCATGACCAGTACACACGATGGACTACCGTTGGGGGGGTATGACCCAGGGATTCTTTCGGCGGAACTGACGGTGTGATGATCCTTAGGCACTAGTTCTTGGGCACAGCAGCAGCAAGAGTGCAGCTGAGGATTAGAAAGTGTGTCTCAGCATCTTCCCCACTCCCATCAGTGCCCCGTCCCCTGCCCCGATGCGGCCACTCTTTGTTCTCAGTCCCCCACGTGGCACCTCAAGGCCTTTCCTTCCTGAGCCATGCCAGAACCTTCCACTCCAGTTACTCTGAGCCCTGTGAGTCCGTCTCCCTCTCCCGTGGGGAGAGACGGTCTGTCCCTTGCTCTTCCCCCAGGGGTATCTGTATGTCCCCACGGCTTCCAAACTTGGGAAACCCCGAGCGGAGGCCCAGTAGGTGGCCGTAGGGCTTGGGGGCGAGCGGGCAGCACTGGGGTGCTGTCTCTCCTACACCAGCACCAGGCACTGAGCCTGGTTTCCTGACTCCTCCCAACACCCCCAAGTCGCTCTCACAGCTCACACACCTGCTGTGAAGTCACCCCCGTCACTCCTCATCTTGCCCTCCTTTTTTTTTTTTTAATTTTTGTTTTATATTGGGGTCTAGTCGATTACCAACATTGTGCTAGTTTCAGGTGTACAGCAAAGTGATTCAGTTCTACATATACATGTATCTATTCTTTTTCAGATTCTTTTCCCATGTAGGTTATTACAGAATACTGAGCAGAGTTCCCTGTGCTATACAGTAGGTCCTTGTTGGTTATCCATTTTAAATGTAGCAGTGGGTACATGTCAATCCCAAACTCCCTAACTATCCCTCTGCCCCTCCCATCCCCCCTGGTAACCACAAGTTGGTTTTCTATGTCTGTGAGTCTGTTTCTGTTTTGTAAATAAGTTCATCTGTATCATTTTTTAGATTCCGCATAAAGCGATATCGTATGATATTTGTCTTTCTCGTCCTGCCCTCTCTCCTCCCCCGTCTCGTATCCGCTCACACGGACATGCTATTTCCTGCCCCCAGCACCCCTAAACCAATACACAGATATATACAACTCCAAGTCCCCCACCCCCGAAACTCTCAGAAATGAAATAAAAGCGAATAGAGTTCTCTGCCATGATGGAAACAACAGAACGCAAAGGGACAAACGAACGTGTAGTGGCATGATGTGCATGAGTGACTGGAGATGGGGTCTGACAAGTGAAGACAGACACCGTAACAAGCAGGCCTTTCCCCGCAGCTGGAGCAGAGCTTATCTCTACAGAGAAGATAGCAAACAAGAAACAGAGCAGGACATCATGAGAGAGGCAAGACAGGAAACCCAAAAGGACAGCTCATCTCCACGCAGGCGTGACTGCCGGTGCCAGCGAGGCGGCTCCACACTAACGAGAAGCTTCCACGGCGCCCTCACGGGAGACACGTCAAAAAGTCAGTCCCCGCCCACAACCCCGCTGCTTCTGGTCTCAGCGCCTCCTGCACTGCACCTCTCCTGAGGCCCTAAGTGCCACCTTTCCAGACCCTGTTCAGCTCCTCTCCACATTCGTTTTAATATTTCATGGCTCTCTTGGAAGAGGGAGGAGCAACATCTCTCTGTGCATGTTCCTCTTAATCGATTTGTTATGGCAATTATAACTTTTTTTTACTCCAGAGGATGCGAAGGAGACTGCTGCTTCCTGGAAAGGGAGTGTTTTGGAAGACGGTGAAATGCAAGTGTCCTCCCCACGGTGCCACTTGTGGCGTGTTCCCCGAAGACTTCCCTGCTTTTCTGGAAAGCCAGGGTCCTTCCAGCCTGGGGGCTGATGGCTAAGACCTCGTCTGAGGTGAGTAGACAAACTGTTGGGTTCATTTTGAAGAGAAACTTAGACAAGAGAGAGTTGGGCCACAGGCTTCCCTCGAGAGAAGGTGTGGAGATGGGTCTGTTCCCATGGACGTGGCCTCGTGGCTCCCCACAGTCCCACAGAACTCACGCCGAGCCCTGGACCTCCAGCCCCGTCTGCGAACAGCCAGTGAGCTGTTCGTTCCAGTACATCTAATGTTTTCTTGAAGTTTTTGCTCCCAGATTTGGAAATGATTGTTGCAAGTAACACTGATTAATTCTACATTGTTATATTCTGGAAATTTCATAAATCCAACATGGAAATAATATGCAAAATAGAAGCTATTGACTAAAAAAATCAGATAGAATTGTGCTAAATTAACCTTGTAAACATTTAATCTTTCCTTCCTCCCTCCCTCCTTCCTTCCTTCCTTCCCTCAGAAGGTGACATGATACAACCTGGGTTTTCACAGGGTCACTGTTGCTGCTGTGGGGCCGAACCACAGAGGCTGTTCCCATCACGTTTGTAACCATCCTCATTTCCTCAACTTTTGATACGTAACCTGTGTCAAAACACAGAGTTATAGCTGTGGACAATCACCCTGAAGGAACTGGTGAGTAAAAACAAAACTATGACTTTTCTGTAAGAACAAAAGAGCCACTTTTTTTTCAAAGTATGGCAAAGATTTGATTAACCTGAGGAATGCAGGGTACTGATTAATTGAGTTTTCTGATGAACTGACAGGTTAGTCTGATGGGAAAACTGATGAGAACGAAAACCATCATGTTCCTATCTTATTAAGAAAGTGTATAACGCACAATGCAGGTCACTTTGCTGGTAATATCTTCTTCCTACTCCAAGTCATTGTCAGAAATACCTACAGGGCCAGAGAGATGGTACATGGGCTGGGCTGATGGACAGGTAGTCCTGGGGTCCTTGAGGGAAATTCTGGGGAGGAAGAACCTTGTGGGGAAATGGGGGGAGGGCAGAGGGCACTTGACGGTTCTTTTCCTACAGAATCGACTCCTTCAACTGAGCTAAATAAATAAGATTCTGGGCCACATCGAAATGAGAGGAGATGCTCTCAGAAGGAAGTCTCCGGACTCCAAGTCCTCAGCCAGCATCACGGGGGTGGGGGGTTGGGCAGGGACCTCTGCTTTCTTCCTCTCACAATGGCTCACGTGTCCGCTGGTACATTTCACCATGGTCGACTCCTACCTTGTATCTGCGTGACCACCCCTGTCTCTTGGGCACGCCCACAAAATAAACTTGTTCTCAGGGAAAGGTTCAGACCACTGGCCAAATCAGCCCCCTCAAACACAGGTTGATCTTTCCCTGCACTCCTGTTATGTTAATAATTTAACTCTCATCAGACACTGACATCTGACACTGGAAGTATTTGAATGTTTTGTTTTTTCCCAAGTGACCGAGTTTCTTCTTTGCTCTCTGCCATCCCCAAGCAGGAAGGCAGCTGAGCCCTGGGATTCAGAGCCTGGAATCACATTCCCGGGCTGAGAGTGGCTGAACAGTCACTGAGCAGCAGGTCAGACGCCCGTCGGCCCTGGGACGCGGTGGGTGTGAGCACAGGGCCTGAGGCGTGTGCAGCTACTCAGATGGAAGCGCCTGTCAACATCTTGGTGACAAGCTGTAAATGCATTTACACTGTGCTCCATGGTAAGTGAACCCCTCTAACCATCAGCTTCAGAGATCTGGGCAGTGGAGCTGGGTGGATACGCACCAGCACAGGCCCGGGTGTGAGGCAGAAACATTGAATGTACTACTTGTGGCACACACCTTCCAGCCGCCGCTGGTCCACCCGATAGCCGGGTCAGGCAGAGGGATGGGGCGATCTGTGGACCTCTGGTCCCCAATAACCCCAGGCCCGACCAGAATACTGAGATGCAAATACTTACTCAGGGTTATCTTTTGTAATTTTGCCTACTTTAGGGCTGTGGAATTTTTAGCTAGAAATAAAGGAAGGGGGACCCTTCCCCACCTGGAGTCCTTCGGAGATGCTGTGTTGACGGACTCTGCCCCTGACCGATGGAAGAAGCGATTCACAGTCCACACCGCTGTCCAGGGTTGATTCAGCTGCTCCGCCAGCACCTTCATTTCTTCTCTTGAACTTTCCTCATTCAACTTCTCAGCCATGTAAACCAACCACAGTTACAACCACTGTAAAGCAGATGGGCAGCAGGGAGGGGACATTAATGCTAAGGGGACATTAATGCTAAGAATGGACTGACTCTGTGACCAGAGCAGCGGTCCTGCCTTCCTGACAGCACAGAGAGGCATTACAGTTTCATGGGTCACCTAGACTCTAAAATCAAACTCAGGGCAGTAGCTACTAGCGACCTTGTTTGCTGGCCTATGTTCTAGAATGTAAGCACAGAAAGGTAGGGATTTTCACCATTTTATTCTTTGCTGTGTGCAGTGCCCTGAAAAGCAAACACCAGCCCAGAGGCCCAGTGAATGTTAGCAGTGCAGGAGTGCCAAGCATGGTAGTAAAATCATTCTGTGTTTCTATTTACATCTCATAAAAGCAGATTAATTTACATGCTAGGTGTCTATTTACACAGTAGATAACAGTGTATGTTTTCACCAATCTTCTTGTACCCACTGTTAAAACAGCAAATGAATAATCCCTTCATTTGTATTTCTCTTCATCTTGGGGAACTATTGTTTATCCCGTTGACTTCTGAAGAAATTGAAAGAGTAAAAAAGTTGGCCATTTATCTGAAATGAGAGTGTGTTTTTTCAAAAAAGAAAAGGCTCCCCAGAGAATATTTACATGCTGTTGAGCATTTAGTAAGAAAACATTTCAAACTAACCAGCATCAATGGAATTGTGGAGCCTGCAGCGCCGTCACTTAATTTCAAAGGAGAGACAGACTAAATCCAGAAGACGACACAGCACAGGGCTCCATCGCACCTGCCTAGTCAACTTGGGGGTTTAACAATGCAGACACATCAGTATGAATTGCTTCCGATAGCCAAGCGTTCACAGCGGAGGGTTTGCTCTTAACTGTTTTTCTATTGCCGACTTGGGCTCGATGGCAGCATTTTCCATGATGTGTCCGTGATGAAATTGGATGCACATGCATGTGAGGTTTCCATCCAGCTAAGACCATGTTTGGGGAGAAGCCAACTGCAGATGCAGTGTTCTGCCTATGGTCTGGAAACTCCAAGGTCACTAAAGTGCAGCAAGTTCAGAGAGACAGATGACAGGGAAGGATGGACTTGCCTGTTTGGAGGCTCAGGGTCATCACAGGACACCAAGCCCAGGCAGCTCAGTTCACAGGCACGTGGGGAGGCTAGGGAAGCTGGGAGGCTGGGGAGGAGGCTTGATTCTCTCCTCTCCTCCGCTGGCCTCCACATCCTTTCTCTTGGGAGACCCTCAATGAAGATGCATTAATTGGTTTTGTCTTTGGACAGTAGTCCATGGTTTTGTTCCAGAAATCCTTATTAAAATAGCACTCAGACTTTTCAAAAAATGTTTGTTTTACATTTTTGCCTCACTCTCGTAACAACACAGAAATGACTGCAGGGGGCTTACCACCTCCAGTAAGCCTCCCAGGCACCCGCAGACCAGAACAGAGCATTTTAATACCTTGACCACGCCTCACAGCTACACAGGGGATGCCAGGCCACGGTCCAGACTTGCGGGCTCCAGGAGGGCACCTCCCTGTCACGCTGCACATGCTGCTCGAATGCAAGGCAGCACGACTGCAAATTCAGGTTTGAAAACAGAAACAAACCTGTAAAGCAAAACGCAGTAGCTATAAACCTAGAAAGAGTGGTGAAAAATCTCAAATATAAACTCTAAATCCAAAAGCGAAAGTTAACTTAAAAAACTGAGTTACTGATGGTGAGGAAACATTTTCCTACATAGAAAAGTGGTGCCCAGGATGGATGGTGGGAGCAGAGAAAATGAATCTGTCAGCACTGTTCTGTGGCACAATGCAAGTCGCTGACCGTCTAGTTCAGGGGCTGGCACATTTTTCCTGTAAAGATAAGTATTTTAGGCTCTGTGAGCCATATGATGGTACCCGTTCCACTCCACCATGGTAGCGAGGGCACAGCCATAGAAAACATGCAGACAAACGAGCCTGACCGTGTCCGTGAAGTTTCTTTACAAGATTAGGCAGACGCCTGGTGTAGCGTGTTCATCGTTAAATCTCTTATTCATGCCTTTCATCCGCTAATCAATGGCATCGTCAGTAACAGCTTGAACTGAATTTTGGAGGATCTCTGTTCAGCTTCATAAGGACACCACATTGGGTGAAATCCTTATGGGAAGACCAAAAACGTTTGTGATTTTTAAAATTTTCCACTGAAATCTAACCTTTGTCAGAGATCTTTCTACAGAAGTTGTTTTCACCCCGAAGGAGCTGCAATCCTGATTAGCTAGGATCAAAGATTTGAACTTGCAAGTACCTCTGCTTTCAGGCGATCTCCTAGAGCAGTAATTTCTACATCTAACGGCTGGTTTTAGAATAAGAAACCAAGTTACCTCGTGGATTGATTTCCAAAAAATATATAAATGATTTTCCTAGGATATTATAAAGGCTTGAGTTTGTTTACCAAGAACTTCTAGCTTAGTGCAAACTTTTCCTATAATTAAGAAGGGGGCTTCCCTGGTGGTGCAGTGGTTGAGAGTCCGCCTGCCGATGCAGGGGACACGGGTTCGTGCCCCGGTCCGGGAGGATCCCACATGCCGCGGAGCGGCTGGGCCCGTGAGCCATGGCCGCTGAGCCTGCGCATCCGGAGCCTGAGCTCCGCAACGGGAGAGGCCACAACGGTGAGAGGCCCGCATACTGCAAAAAACAACAACAAAAAGAAAGATCTGAGGAGCCCTAAAGAATCAGATCTGGGCTTCCAGTGGTTTGGTTTTTGTTATTTTGTAATTTTGTTCTTGTTTTTCTTCTACTGTTCAGCTGTGTTTCAGATTAATTGCAGTTGATACATTTCTATGTTCTTTAAATCTTAGATTGAGAACTATTTAAATATTTCTTGCTAGAAAATGGGAATTCAAAATCTAGAACAATCTTGAAATTAAGAATTTGATATTTTAAACCATTACCTTTATGTCGATGTATTCAGTTAAATGCAGTTATTCTTAAGAGCTCATATACACAAAGCAAAAAGTTGCAGAGTATAAAATTAAGTTCTTGGCATTTTAGAAATTACCTGGAGTATAGACTCCCACTGCTTGTTTCTATGAGAAATAAAACTTCTCAAGAAAAACACAAACCTGCCTCCACTACTTTAATCCACGTTTGAGAAGCTCCCATTTACATCACTTTTATGAATCTACTTGAATTGACTTCTAGTTAGTATCAAATGTTGCTTTGAAATGTTTTCCAAGGAGGTTTTTTTGTGTTTCTTTTTTTAAGAAAAACTGTCGATATTAAATACCATAATATCACTAAATCAGAAAATTTTTCTCCAACAAGTAACAGACTCAGACAATTTAAAACATCCTAAGTAATGGCTTCGGTCTTCATTTAAACCTTTTGAAAGCAGAAAGAAATTTGTGTGTAAGAATATGTCGGTTTTAACAAAATTTATGGCATACCTTGTAATTTGATCTTTCTTATAGCTTAAACTATAGACTTTTTCAGGATTTGAAATATGAGAATATGCTTTCAGAAGGTTCAGTTGTTAAGTAATTTGAGGAGATAATCCTAAACTATGTTTAATCCCCCTCTGGTACCTAATTATAACCCGTGTCTAGATTTCCTGTGGGTAGCATCCCATGACTGAGGACTAATGAAATTACTTTGTTGATTGACTGATTCCTTCCTATTTGACCTTCTTTCTTTTCAGGGATCTTTTTCTTTGGACGACGGTAGCAGAACAAAATGATATGCATGGCAAAGAGTCTTGACACATAAGGATCGCCACTGATGGAGCCGTTTGGGGTGGGAGAACAGGGGGACAGAGGCTTCCTGGACCCACACACTGAGTTCTCAGCCCAGCTCTGCAGTCCCTTCTTACTCACGTCAACTTGGGTAACTGCTACTGCCTTTGGGCCCCAGTTTATCAGTAAAATAAAGAAAAGAATACGGACCTTGAAGACTGGACTTGCATTCATTCAAAAAGTAACTGACATTTTGTCAGGGATGTCCTGCCTCCACCACTTCCTGGCTGTGCCATCTTTGGCAGGTTACTTAACTTCTCTGTGCTTTGGTGTCCTCATCTGTAAAATAAGGGTATTACCACCTCTATGTCTCAGTGGGAGAGAGGATTAATGAGAGAGAGGTGCCTGCAGTGTTTAGGACGATACTTAGCATGTAGTAAGTGCTCAAGAAATAGTAAATATTGTTGTTGTTAAGACTGTTATTTTTAAGGTATTATTAACGGTGGCCAATGGACGACTCTGTATCGGGCTTACAGCCTAGCAGGGAAGAGTGATGCACTGTGCTCATGCTGCCACAGAGGAGAAGAGGGAAGGGGGAAGCAAATAGCCAGGGCAGACCCACAGACTGAGAGACAAGCTACTGAATGCGGCCTGAGGGCCGAGCAGGGGTTTGCTAAGCGAAGGGGTGGGGGAGTTAGAGGCACAGACAGAAAACAAGAAAGCATCGGGAGGCCTGGAGCATTGGAGGAGCTGAAAGGCGCTGGTTCATTGAGCCTGAGACGGGGCTGGTGAAAATGCAGCTGGAGGGCTGGGGAGAAGCGGCTTAGGAGGCCCCCAAACCTTAGGAAGAGTTGTGGTTTCTATCCTGACAGCGATGGAAGCCAGAAAAGAGACTTAAGCGGGGAACTGAGAGGAGTTTCCCTTGAGAAGCACTGTTCTGGCTGCATTTGAAAGATTCCACTGAAAAGGCAGGACTGGAGGCAGCAGGACCTCATCCTGGGTCCAGGACGGCATAGAGAGTTGGTGTCTCACTGCAGTCCTGTGATGACACTTCTCCTGACTGTGCATGAGGGCAGGTCATTACTATGCTCGACACCGGTAATTCGGGGACTCTCTGAACTGATAGGATCTACAGGTGGTCTCTTTAAGGATTAAAGCCAGTCAGCACCTTAGTCCACTTCGTCATGCTTTCTGCAGCTCTGGGATTCTAACTTGCACAGAACTGTGCTGCCGGTTTCTCCCCATTTTCCTTCAAAAGGAATGCAAGTCAGCTGGTCTCCACAATCCAGCAGAACTTTCAGTCAGGTCTTTCACAAGGCAGAGGAATGGGGTTCACCACTGAACAGAGAAGGCTGAAAAGTGTTCAACTTTCTCCTGCTGATGGAAGATGCAGGTTAAGAAACGAAATTACCTGGATATCAGTTCAGGAAAAGTGGGACAGCAGCGGGCCAAGCTCCTGGACCACACAGTCCGTCTTTAAAACTTTGTGCAGAACGTAGCCGCCACCACGTCCCTGGGAGGGCCACCTCCTCTCAGTCTCCAAGTCATCTTTTAGTAAATTCCCAAGTGAAACTTGGTCCTCAACTTTCACCCACTGCCTTGGAGTGTGAAGGAAGCATCATTTTGCAAGTCACGGGTCAAAGGCGCCACGTGAAGGGAGCTGAGACCAAGCCCCAAACCACACGAGCAAAAACTTGCTTCCTTAGATCCAGATGTCTTTAGTTGAGCGCCCTGGGGACTGAGTTCTCTGCGAGAAGGGACCACTTCCCCGTAGTCCCTACAAGAAGTCCTAGTAATGGAATGTACCACTAATACGTGTGTATTAATTCCCCACCTGACATTTTATAGCCAAACAAACAACGCAGCACAACAAGCTCATGGAAGATTTCAGCCTTTTTAGAGCAGAAAGGCCAGCACCATCCCCCAGTCACCACCCAAATAACGTCCCATCTACAAGGGACCACCTCCACAACAGCTGCAGAGCCCTGAGTGGTCACCAGGGAGTGTCACTGGGCCCAGATGGAGGTGAGGGAAAGCCCAGGGCACATGGAGAGAAAAAGATAATTCTCAGTGAGCTTTAATGTTTTAGATTTTAAGACGGAGGTGTGTATAATATCTCTTTTGAACATACCTGCTGTGTGACTCCCTCTCCTCCCAGAAGAAGGGTGAGGGAGGCAGGGGTGATGAACGCTCGAGCCCGAAATTGTTGATCTAGTTCCTTGAAAATAAAAGACAAGTTGTGCCCTCAGGGAGCCTATCAAAGGAACCAAATATTTTGCAAAGACAATCCTTTTTTACCCTATCCCTTATTTTATTTTCTTTAAAGAAGCAAACACGAGTCCTATAATCACGGAATATAGAGATACACAGGGACGACTGCCACAGGGAAAAGGTAGGAGCTGCGGGGTATTTACGAGGGTGTCCAGCCCAGCCTAGGAGCATCGGGGCAGCTTCTGGAAGGAATGGCCCCAAACTGAGATCAGAAGGTGAGCGGAAGTTAATAAGCAAGGCACAGGAGATCAGCAGAGGCCCTGAGCAAACTGGGGAAGTACAATCGCGATCAAGGGTGGGAAGAGGCAGGAGGAGAGGGACGGCGATGGGGAGGGGACACCCGCGGGGGACACATGTCCCTGAAGGATTTCACCCTGAACAGCGGAGCGAAGACAGCAGACCGTGAGCAAGGGGAACACACAGTCGTGTTTGCAGCCCCACGGTGGCTCTTCGGAGCCTGGGACAGTGGGGGATGAGCCAACACAGGGATGGGGTAGGGGTGATGGCAGTCATGTAGGAGAAAGGACAGTACTGGGACTGCGGTGGTAGCAATGGCCGAGGGTGAGGAAAGAGGGCGGCTTCCAGAGCTGTGCTGAATTGGAGAGCTCCTCCGAGCTGAAGCTTCCTCCTCCATGTAGATCTTTCTGTTTCAGCACCAGTAA